TGTCGGTGATGGGCCATAATAATCATATACATTGTATATTGACAAAATAAAAAAAAAATAATAATTTTCCCTAAGTTCATCTATGTTGCTGTGAATGGCAAGATTTTATTCTTTTTTATGGTGGAGCAGTATTCCATTGTGTATATATACCCTATTTTCCTTATCTAGTCATCCATCTGACAAAGATTTTAAAGGAGCCAACAAAAAAATCATTGAATGATTATTTATGAACATGCTTGAAAAAAATTAAAAATTAGAGCCTCAGAAAATAAATATATACACAGAAACACTACAAATCAAAATGAAATTCTAAGAATTTTTATGTAACAGAGGAAGGCAGAAAAATAAAACGGAAATAGAAAACAGAACAAACAAAAAACAATAAATAAAATGGTAAGCGTAAGGTTAAGCCCTAACAAATCTACGCTTGCATTAAAAGATGAAAACTGATAGAGTAGATTTAAAACATACTCAATTATATGCTGTCTATAAGAAATTCACTTCAATTGTAATGATACAGGCAGGTTGAAAACAGATTTGAAGATGTCATTCCTTCCCAAATCGATACACATGTCCAATGTAAATGCTGTAAAATCCCAGCAAGACCAGTGGTCAGTGGACACAAAATTGTAGAGAGATAGGAAGAATAGAATCTTGTGTTCTAAAGCAATATAGGGAGACTACAGTCAACAAAGTACTGTGTATCTTTGAATAACTAGTCAAGATTTTGTTGAATGTTCCCCAAAGAGGTGACAAATATTTGAGGTGATGGATATACTAAGCACTCTGATATGATCATTGCATACAGTGTACATGCATCCAAATATTATATTGTACTCAATAAACATGTACAATTTTCATAGGTCAATTAAGAAAAGTAACTCAAAAGAAGAGAAAAATAAAGAAATAAGAGAGTAGAATAGTGGTTACCAGAGGCAATGAAAGAGAGGGAGGAAGAGGAACGGGTAAAAGGTCATGAAAATTGACTACAATGTATATTGAGAAGTTAAAATAAAAAAGAAAGAAAGAAAGAAAGGAGGGGGGTGGGGAGTGTTGTTCAGGGGAAAGGTTCGTAGACTGGTACAAAGTTACAAGGTTACAGTTAGAAAGGAAAGGTGCTCTAGGCTGACAATAGCTAATAATATCATATTGTATATTTTGAGATAGCCAGAAAACAGGATCTTGAATGTTATAACCACAAAGAAATGATAAATGTTTAGGTGATAGATATGCTAACTATTCTGATTGGATCATTATACAATATATGCATGTATTGTACAATTAAAAAAAAAAGAGTATAAAGTGGGAAGAATCAGTCTACCTAAGTTCAAGACTTAGCTACAGTAATTAAGACTCTTTGGTACTGATAGAGCAACAGACACATAGAGAAATAAAACAGAATAGAAAATTCAGAAATATATATATATATTTTTTTTGTCTTTTTCCATGTCCGGCAACGGATCGCAACCCTCAGTGTCGCCCCCGTACCGGACCGGGACCGGCAACGGGATCGCAACCCTCGGTGTTGCTCCTGCGCCTCGCTCAGCCAGTGAGTGGGAACCGGTCTGTACGTGGGATCCGAACCCTCCGCGGGAGCACCACCGCACTTCCCAAGTGGCGCACTATCGCAGTGTGCCACCGGGCCGGCCCACAGACTTTTCAATAAATAGAACTGGGCACCCATAGGCAGCAGCAACAACAACAAACAAACCTTAACCTCAGACTCATACTTTATATAAATAAAAATAACTCAAAATGTGTCAAGAATTTAAAGGTAACAAGCTATAAAACTTTTAGGAGAAAGCATAGGAGAAAATCTTCAGGGTCTAAGGTAAGTAAAGAGTTCTCAGGCTTGACACCAAAAGCATGATCTACAAAAGGAGATATGGATAAAATGGAGTTCATCAAAACTAAAACTTTTACTCTGTGAAAGGCAATGTTTAAGAGGATAAAAGTTAGAGGGTGAGAAAAAAAATAGTTGCAAACCACACATCCAACAAAGGACTAATGTGTAAAAAATATAAAGAACTCTCAAAACTCAACAGTAAAAATACAAAAATTTTAATTAGAAAATGTGCAAAAGACATGAAAAGCCATTTTAATGAAGAGGACATACTGATAGCTCATAAGCATATGAAAAGATGTTCAACATCATTAGCTACCAGAGAAATGCAAGTTTAAAACCAGAATAGTTGCTAAAATCAAAATAGTGACAACACGAATGTTAGTGAAGATTCAGAGAAACTGAATCACTCATACATTGCTGATGGTAATATAAAATGGTACAGCCAGTCTAGAAAAGAGGTTGGCAGTTTCTTAAACTTTAAAGATGCAATTACCATATGATTCAGCAATTGCACACCGGGGGCATTTATTGCAGGGGAATAAAGACTTACTTTTGCATACAAAACTGTCAACAAATGTTTATAGTAACTTTATTCATAATAGCCAAAAACTGGAAACAACCCTGAAAACAAACTTTAGTACATCCATACCATGGAATATTGCTGAGCAATAAAAAGGAATAAACAATTGATACAGGCAAAAACCTGCATGAATCTCCAAATAATTATGCTAAGCAAAAAATGCCAACCTCAAAAGGTTATATATATTATGATCCCATTTATATAACATTCTTGAAATGACAAAATTATATAAAGGGAGGATAGATTAGTGGTTGTCAGGGGTAAAGGAGGGGGTGACAGCACAAGGAAAATGGGTGTGGCTCTAAAAGGGGAACAGGAAGGATCCTTGTGGTGATGGAATTATTCTTTATTTTAATTGTATCAATGTCAACATCCTGGTTGTGACATTGTATTAGTTTTGTAAGATGTTACCACTGGGGGAAACTGAGGAAAGGGCACATGAGATGTCAGTATATTTTTCTTAAGATTATGTGTGATCTACAATTATCTCAAAATAAAAAAGTTTAGTTAAAATAAAAGTTATCCCCACCTTTTCTTTCTACATAAAAAGCATGAACTGATGAAAAAAAAAGTTAACAAAGAATTCAAAGGCAAAGAAGTATTTCCCTTTTCCTGATTTGATATGATGGAGTTTTAATTCTCCTACAATGAGGAAATCTTTTTTTTTTTTTTTTTTTTTTTTGTCCTTTTTTTGAGACCAGCTGCACCACGCTCAGCCAGTGAGCGCTGTAAGCGCACTGGTCATCCCTATATAGGATCCGAACCTGCAGCGGGAGCGCTGCTGCGCTCCCAGCGCCGCACTCTCCCGAGTGTGCCACGGGCTCGGCCCAGGAAATCTTTCATATATATTTCATATATAAGATTAAATGTAAAAATAGAAAACATACTGTGATTCTAAATAATATAATCTCCTTACCAATGTTCCCTGGAAATTTCCTGGCTTCTTATACCATGCTTTGTTGCCTCCCTCTTCACAAACACATAGATGATCCATTAATCCATTACTATACACAAAACATTTTCCTAAAAAAGAAGATTCCAACAGTCCACAATTGCTTCACATAACTATATTACTTTTACAGGTGAACAAATTGAAATTATGATGAGGAAAGTAGAAAATTATCAAAAGAGAACCTTGAAAAAGCCAAATTATTGTCTCTACTTTTTAGCAAAAAACATATAATTATTTTTATTTGCTTAATGATATGGCACTGGGCACAACTCACAGTTGTGAAAATAATGAAGTACATTAGTGGATTTTATGTTTTCAGAACTGTAGTAAGAAAATGTACACAAAAATAAATTCTTTTAGGTTATCCGAGGGAATGGAGAAGAAAGACAAAGAAAAAGAAGAAAAACCTGTTTTGAAAAGAGAACACAGATACATGTGTTCTCTATTGGTCCAGAAAAAAACTCTGTGTTATGCAAGGGAAATTCAGACAAAAATAGATCATGAAAAAAAATGTTCGTCTCAATGTAATATTATGCTTTTATCCCTTTCTCTGTATTTGTACTGCTTGATCCAGCCATTTGTCAGCTGCCATTTAGTTTACTACAACTTTCTCTAATACCAACACCTTCCCATTCATCAGACTCACTCTTGTTGCCAAAATTCTCTTTTCTGTTCGATCATATATAATTCTGTGAGTTTCATAATACATAAGTCTAATCATCTCCTTCTGCTTTTAAGGCTTTCTTTAATGTGTAGAAAACTACCTTTTCAGTCTCTTTGTACAATCCATCTATCCTTTCCTTCATCTGAAATACAACTGCTGTTTATTCACTACTATGCATTCAACAGAGTGGCATGCATATCGGAGCCAATTTTCTTACAGTCCAAACAGTCTGTTTTCTGCTATTTAAATATGTTTGAATGCCATTATTTTTATAAATTTGTAAAAGACTGATCAAGGAACTGCTATTTTTGCCTATCTTATAAAAATATTTAATCAGATGTCTCAAATTCCACTTAAGCTACTGTTCAGCAATTAACCAAGCTGCCTGATAAAATAATAAATTTCCAATGACTGTATTCAAGCAACACTTGGATGACAGTCATGAATATTCTAGGATAGGCATATCTCTTGGACAAAGGAGGAAGCTAGATTCTAAGGTCCCCTACAGGTATAATTCTGTTCTTATTTGTGAGGTACATATCCAAATATATAATGGTCCTCTGCTTTAATTAGTAGATCCATAAAAGTGATATATATGTTATATACAACGGGTCTTCAAAAAGTTCATAGAAAGATATATATTACCTTTTAATCCTATCCATGAACTTTTTGAAGTACCCTCGTATTTACTTGATTTTTTTTTTGCCTTTCTTCATCATGTACAACTGAATAGTGAAAACATGTTTCAGCATGAGGATAAAGAGGCATCAATTTTAATAAATTAACAAAAAGAATATTATTGAAACAAAATGAATGCAGTAACATTTAAATATCTAACATAACATTTTCAGGATAACTAGCACACATACCTTTAGGAAATGAGTTGCTTTGGGCTTGGAGTCGAATTTTAACAACATCCAGGGGTGTCACTATGAAGATACATAAGTTTCAGTTAGCAAGTAATACCTGTAAATTGTATAGACATTTTCTGAAGAACACAAATACACTGATTCATACTTTTCTTCATGGCTATATAATTGGTAATATTATCTTAAAGTAGACTTGAATGTAATATTCTAATTTTTCCCCTTGAATTTTGTATAAAAGATTGATGAAAAGACAGACTGTTAATACTTCTCTCATGAGTACTAAACTGTCATTTAGACTATTTCTACAACTACAATCCCATTAGCATAAGAACTAAAATACTAGTATTTATAAGAAAATATGTTCCCTAAGGCAAGGAATAAAAGTTCCAAAAGTCTATTGAAATATCTGAAAATGAATCTGTATAACAAGTAATCAAAAAAAAATTCATTCTAAGAAAACTTTTCCTCATCTGAGAATGAGGAAATCACATTAGGTGATCTTTAAAGCATTCACAATCCTAAAATTCTGACCTGAGGATATTATACCATAAAGCAATTATTTTGCTTATTCTAATGATTTGTCATCTTATTTAAATAAACTAGCCAACTTAAAATCATTATAATGCTAAACTATCAAATAACTATGTCATTTGGCTATGTCTATAAGAAATTGACTAAGAAAAAGAAAAATGTGGTCTAGAGATATTTAAGAAATTTGATGTAATGAAAGCAAAATAAAACATTAGTTGTTGCTAATATAAATTGTTTAAAATCTGTATTATTCATTATGTTAATATTTCATTCCATCTTCTTGCTTTCTATTTTAAAAAGGGTGATAAAATCCTAAGAGCTTAATGTTGATAGAGACCTCAAAGAACTCCCAGTCTAATCCCCTAATTTTATAGATGAAAAAATAAAGTTCAGAGAGAAGTAGGTACTGTCCCCAAGTGTATTTACTCTCAGAATGGCAAGGCAAGGACTAAAGTTCAAGTCTCTTGATTCTCTGTCCAAGGTCCTTTATTATCATGCAGATGAAGGAATATTAGCATTCATGAAGGATAAATGACAAAATTATTATTTGAGGTAGTAAAACACAAATGGAATCACTGATTCATTCAAAGTTACATAATCTACATCAGTAGCATAATTTTACCTATTAGTGATGTCAGTATAGCTCCAGTACAAGAGGCAAGCATTTGCTGAACAGGTGTCACTTTGACAATCTGTGCTCCTCCTGTTTCGGAATCCATATTTTTAACTAATTTAAGAAAAATCTGTTAAAGAGAGGCAAAATATGAAATAAAATTTTTTTTTTTTTTTTTTTTTTTTTTTTTTTTTTTTTTTTTTTTTCCGT